CTTAATTCATACGGGCTTGGGGTTTGGGCCCACTTAGTGTTGAATACCTGTTTGTGATATCGATACTCTTGATACATTCCTAAAGTTAACTATAAATATCCTTTTAGTTTTGTATTTGTAAGATTACATATGTCTGGAAGTAGGGCAGACAGCTTTCTGGGAGCAGAACATTCCCGATTGCTCGTACTGTACAGCGCGTTATTGGAGATAACAGAGAGAGTTTAAGTTTGTTTAGTGATGGACCATACTGAGATGCAGTAACTTAGCCGGGAATTAATAAGAGGGGATAATTATTTTCTAAAACTTGTTGGGAGATAATATGGCAACCTATTAGCGCATTCACTGCAGGTCAAATGTCCTTCGTCAGAAAATCTATATTTGTTGAACCTTACAACGCTTTATTAAACGAAATACCCAAAACAGCAAACTGCTTGCGTTTGACTAATATATATGTATTTTCAAATCTTAAACACGGGTTTGCTGCAGTTGTCTTTTTTTTTTTTGAAAGAGGAGGCATTTTGTTTTTATCTTATTTAATTTCAGCTTCTTTGCCGTAAATCGCTGATTTAAGCCCAACATCCAATTGTTCGCGTTTTCAGAAAGCCCGTTGACATCTATCCTCAAAAAAAAATATTAGTATCTTCTGCATATGAGACAAATTTTGAAATTTCTCTTATGTTTATTATATCGTCTATATAGGGTTAACAAAGGCTACTAAATGGACCATTCGGAGATTAAATTGTTCTTGTATTTCTGATTTATACACATGCATAGCAGTATACTACGTTCAGAAAGATATGACACTTTTTAGGAGAGACAATGCCGTATTTCGAATACCGTAAAAAGGAAGCTTTCTTATAAGTGTATCTTGCTGGACGTTGTCAAGCAATTTCTTAAAGCCTTGGAATGCGTCCAGTGTTAAGATTCTATTGGTCATATATTTAGGAATCTTCGAATCCAAGAAGGACTGACTCTGTAGATCTATTTATTATGAAGCCTAATTGTGTATTTCTTATTAAGTTATAGCGGTGAGAAATACAAGTTTTTTTTTTGTTTTGTTTGTGATCTACTGATCCTACCCAACCATATTTTAAAAAAAGATATTGGAAGTACTGAAATTGGTCTATAGTTCTTTAAATCTTCAGGATATCCACTCTTGTGATTAACAGAATTAGTTTCTTTTTTTGGAAGGAAGCACCGGTAGAAAAAACAAGGTTGCGTATCTATGTGAGCTCTGAGCTTACCAAGTAATACTAAGACACTTACGGCTTCCAATAGTAGATGTTCAAATCATGCTCTAGAGGCACTTCTCTCTTAGTGATAAGACTATATCTATTATTTAATGTTCTTCGGTAGGGAATAAGTACACCGTAGTAGGACAGCACAAGGTCAAACTCTTCACATTGTATTTGGACAAAGTCATTTGTGGGGCGACGCACAACAATGAATTCTTTAACACCAGATATACCCTCCCTATAAAAAATAACTTTTTTTTTTGTACTGAAGTTGTTGTGGTTGCTTCCTTTATAGTTTGTCATATCAAATGTGAATTCATTGTACTTCCTAAGAATATCCACATTCAGCACAGAAACTTGATCTTTTAATATCGGTATTTAACTTGTTTTGTGCATCTTAAACTTAAGAAAATCACTCGCACTTTTAGTACCTAAAATTTTTGAAATAGCATACTACAATGCTTAATTATTTCATATAATTCCAGAAATATTCACAGGTTACGTGATTTTGTGCTTTCTAATAGCCGAGTAGAGATGACTTATAAAAGGTGCGCATAAAATTCGGTAAAACAACCTCACGAGCAATATTGGCGTCCGTACATTATATAACATTGCTGGTATTTAGCCCCACGACAAGATAAATAAAACATTTAATACTTTATTTTGTGATATTGCTACGAAGGTATCTTGCTCAAAATCGGGGGGTTGTTCGCAGGGCAGGAAACAATATATTGCTAGGAGGTCACCGATGTCAGAAAACAGTGTTCCAGCTTTGACACTCTTAGGAGTAGAACTAGTGATGCAAAGGGTTAAGCATTGTTACAGAGGTCCAAGTTATTTTGGTCGGTGCGTCAATAACATAAAAACCGTCATGTGATTCCAATAGTTGCTCCAACTGCTAAGAGATAGGGCTAGGTGGGCTTATATTTATATTGTAATCTACAACGAAAGCATTTGGATATAATAATTTAATACTGGTTTCATGTAGCTTATCTATAAACTGCAGATAATCGCTTACTAATGCTGGCGGGGGTGATATATGACGCCGATCAACATATCACTGTATAGCTATGCTCTCAAAACTATAATAGTTTTGACTAAACTAAACTATAATAAAACTTTGTAGACTCTAACCAATATCTTCAATGTGCCCGATGTTTCGAAGCCGGCTCGGCTCCTTAATCACAGGTTACTGTATGTGGGCCCAAAGGTAGCGAACTGTCGTTGTTTTCTTCTTCACTCTCTTAGCATTGTTTTCTTCTTCTGTTTTTGTGTGTGGCGCATCGTAGCCCGTGTATATAGCTGCTTGGCAGCGTTCCGGTTGATCGGTTCAGATTGTAGTTAGTACTTTGTATGTGCCAAGATTCTAATAAGAGACGCTTTCTCCAGTTTCTTTCTCTATCTAGGAAGGAACTGCTGTCAAAGCCGATGATGTGGTCGGTCTTCTGAGCATGTTCCGGCAGCGCGTTGCCTTGGATGTCTTTCTTCTTTACGTCATACTTACGTCTGCGCGGACGTTCGGGAAAGTTCTTCGTTTCCCCCACATACGAGGCGCCGCATTCAGCACAAGGAATTCAGTAAATCAGGCCTTGAGCTTCTTTCTTTTGGGGGACGATCCTTCGGAAGAGGAAGAATATAGCCTAAAGTTGTGACGGGCTTATGCGTAACTGCTATGCCGTACGGTCTCGAAACGCGGGCTAGGACTTCGCTCGTGCCATGGAAATACGCGACGCACATGCGGCCGGAGATGCTTTTGTTCTTGGACGTAGAAGGGTGACGAAGTTTCTTGTGTATGTTGGTGGCGAATCTTGTGGGGTAGTTATTTTTTCGAAGGTCTCGTTTTATAAGATTGACTCCCATCTTTAGCGACTCCTTTGTTGAGCAGACCACGGGCTACGATGCGCCACACAAAAAGAACAGAAGAAGAAAACAATGCTGATAGAGAGAAGAAGAAAGCAACGACAGATTGCCACCTTTGGGCCCACACACAGTCACCCGTGATCAAGGAGCCGAGCCGGCTTCGAAACGTCGGGCACATTGAAGATATTGGTAAGAGTCTACAGAGTATCCTGTCCTATTACTTGCCTAATTAGGCGGAGTTCCGCCCGAAATGTTTACTTTCAAAACTATAATTTATAATTGTATAGCTGTTAATTAATAGCGATTGCAGATCTGACGGCACAACCAAAACACCACCTCCGACATTTTTTTATTTCTTTGAGCGGCAGGTACATGCAGTCAAACCTCGATGTAACAAACTTCTAAGTAACGAAACCCTCGATGTAACGAAGTACATAACTTTTTCTAACCGCAAGTGTACGCACGCATGTATTTTTCACCTCTATGTAACGAAGTCCCGTTTGCAGAAATTTCTATGTAACGAAGTTTTACGGACAATTCGGCAGGAACATTTGGGTCTCAAAGGAGATTTTGGGATTCACATGCGCTAAAACGGGCCCTCGATAAAGCGCAAAGGGTGAAATGGGCCGAATCTGGCCAGTGGGGTGTACAGAACGGCCACTTGAGGACACTGGGGCCGCCGCCATTTCTACCGTCGGCTTCGTTCGCGCTGCCAAGTTCGTTTCGAGGTTTAACTGAAAGCGTGCATTTCTCGTTATCCTGGGCGGTGGAGCCTTGAAAACGATGAAGCCACCCCTAACAACGTCGACCTAGACGACTTTCTATACGCCGACTCTGCTGTCATGCGACGGAGGAGCTGACCGACGAGGCGATGGCTCGCGATGTTCATGGGAACTCGCAAGACGGGGACGACATCAAGCCTGATGAGAAAGACACCTGCGATGTGCCCAGTAACCGTGAAGTGGTGGACGGGATCGATGTCATGAGGCGGTTCGCAAGCACACACCAAGACGAAGACGCGATGCAGGCCATCTGGCTACGCGAACATCGTGTGATGTTCGCATAGCCAGGAAACTTTCTTTAACCTTAGCCCCGAATTTCTATGTAGGGAAACTTCAATGTAACGAAGTAAATTCCGAATTTAACCGACTTCGTTACATCGAGGTTTGACTGTATACAGTTATAACCTGAAAATGGGGCACAGTCATCATCACTTATAAGTTATAACCAGAATTCCCTTTGTAAAAGACCCGATAGTCGTCAGCCTGCACAAATGTGAATATTTTAAAGTGGGCTTTTACAGTTCAATTAATATGCATCAGATGTATTTTTCTCTTGACTAGAACGAGGCTTCAGACAATATTCTTCCATTCTGACTGCATCAATGTTCTTCTTTAGTATTAAAGCAGTGTGGATCGCAGATGTAGAGCCAAAACGTCTTTGGCTCTTTTTATACAGCATGCGGGGAAATTTTTAAACACACTCTTGCACAATGTTAAGAACTAAATAAAATATTAAAATGAAGGGTCAGAGAAATCAACTAGTTTTCAAGATCTGGTGAACTCAAGGCGGTTAAATAAAGAGAGCTCAAGTAATGTTAAAATGTGAAGCACGTGCAGTGCAGTTAACTCTCGTATAATAAAGCTGACACCAAAATTGTCGGAATTGCTTTTAATGACGTTATTAAAGTTACAATGGATGATATTTTTTCCTTGACGTCTATAGGACACGTGTATCCTTACGACAATAATTCAGCCCATTCTAAATTATGTGTACGTCACTGTACAACCTTTTACGCTTCCGATATAAAGGAAGGCAGTTGTGCGCCCGCACAATTATCGGTATAACAACCATAGAGTAAGCAACGACAGATTCAGTCTTGTTAGCCCAGTCTAAACAGCAGGCATGTACCGTTGTTTTCTAGCCGTTGCTTTGCTGTTCATCCTGGAGGCATCGGACGTTAGTTCCTCTCTCCCATATATGAATCCAGATCTTCAAAAATATCAAGATCCAGGAAAGGTATGACGACTCTTGTCAAGCATGTGGTTTTTTAAAGTTGCTAAACATGTATTCAGTTATTCAACAGAACTGAGAACTCGCCGAGGTATTGGACGGATTAGTTTGCACCCTCAAGGGTTGGTGATGTATGCTGCACCGCGATGGATTCAGAACAACCATCACTGGCATTGTGTTAATAAGCTTACGAGCATTAACGCGCTGCAGTGGGCATGGAGTGCGAGTGGGAAAATAACTGAACATGTTCTCTTTCCTTGGCACTAAGTCCACCTTACTATCCGATCTTGATACAGACCGCCGTTCTCGTAAGCTAAGCTTATTACAGGATAACCTATTCTTCAAGGACCTTTACTTTTTTTTTCATTCCCGCACTTTTTGGTTTATTTGCATATCGTAAATTGATGTTAGAAGTTGTTTGTATGCACATTTTCTTTTCGCATAATGTTCATTTGGTATATAGTTGTATTTCCTTTACTTTTACACTTGTTTGATTTTCATATATTGTTTTGAGAAGTTCATACAAATTTTGTTTCGCGTAATTTTCTCTTAGTATATAGCGGACTTGAGAAGTAGTCCGTTACAAGTAGCGGATTACTGGTAATTTGGTACTTTTTTAAGTAATTTTGTAATTACCACGTTACTTTGTTTGGCAGTAATTTGTAAAGTAATTGCGTTACAAATTTTTGGTAACGAATTATTTTAATTACTCGTTACTTTTTATTAACATGAGCATAATAGAGAAATGACAGCAATATCAGTTCAGGGCGAACCGCTCGACCAAAGCTGAAAAACGAGCGCTCGCGCTCATGGATTTTTCAGTTCTGCAAGCGACGTCCTCGATCAAATGTGTCGCTGTGGTCGGCCTTCCACGATTGGCCGAACGCTGACTATGACGTCAGCAAAGGATTTCTCTTGGACGGAAATAAGAGGAATGGAAGAACTTCAATTTTTCAGGTGTTGCCAGCGTTCGTTTCAGAGCGCAATGATTTAAAGCTTCAACCATGCTCATTACAAACACCATTGAACTTGTCGTTCGCAAGTTAATGACGTCAAGAGAGGGAACCATAGGAGGGCGCTCTGAAACACATCGCCGCTAATATGGAGTACTCAAAATAAATTGTGCTGTGTGTAGGTTTATACAGCCAAAACTTGGTCTGCTTCAGTGGGCGGCGAGTCTCCCAGCTGTAGATGAGAAATTTGCCCAGTGCAGTACAACCGCTAGCCTGGGGTCTTTGACGTGCATCACGCAGTAGTGATACACAACCGCACGCCGGTACGATGATCATCCAGATCAAAACGGGCAAAGGTGCGGATTGAACCCAGGATACGTGGGTTCTGCAGCGCGAAGGGAGTATTAACTGGCGACCATACATATATGCGCGACTGCTGAGCCCGTACTGACGGCGAGCTTTCACAGTTGTGCAACGCTGCAACGAGCATTCCGGATCGTCAAGATTGCCGGTCTTAGCAGCCCATTGACGTTAGCTGGTTCTGATCATGCGCTCTACACATCGCGTTAAAAGTGCACAAGCTGACAGTGCGTCAAAGCGACAGGCACGAGAGCGCAGCTTTGAGACCTAGCGGTTATGCTTGAAAGGCCTGCTACAGAAAGGAGCTTTCGGATATCGGCACCTTACCTCCGAATCTCCTAGCGGAAGTAGACGCTGCTACGGAGCATTCGCATCGCTTGCTCTTTCTTCAGGATTCCATGGATCTTTTCCAGTCACCGTAAGCTAGCGGGACGGCAGGTGTGGTTGCAGCTTTCGCTGCCTTATCAGCTTACAGGTGAACGGATTGCACCTATATTCTTTCTCTTAAATGCTATATTTTATTTTTACAAATACCGTAATGCAATGGTATAAGAATTGGAAAGCTGATTTCAAAAATGTTTGAAAACATCGAAGATATTTCAAATCTTTTCTTGATAAAATGTACGGTTAAAGTAACGTGAAAGTAATGTGTAACGTAACGAGTAAAGTTATCCGTTACTTTTCAGCAAAAGTAACTTGTAAAGGTAATCTGTTACATTTGGGTTTGGTAATTTGTTATGTAATCTATTACAACTTACAAGTAACGGGCATAAGTCTGGTATATAGATGTTATTTTTGTGAAAGCTGTATGTGTGGGATTGTTTTGCTTGTTTTGCTTTGTATACTACTGCTAAAGCTTAAAATACGGAATGTTTTAATATGCTTTCGTTACTTGATTATTCAGCACACCATTATTCTTATATGTATAGTTTTCTTTTGTATATTTTAATGCTTGTCCTGCTTACAAATCTGAGGCGCTCACCAGAACACGTCAAGCTGCCTCTGGCAGCTTTTTCTCTTGTGCCTCCTTGGCTTCAAGGCCATGAGTAAAAATTAATGATTGATTGGTGTCCCCGAGAATATCGCTATACACGCAAACCTTTCAGTGCGAAGGAAAATAATGCGTAAATGCTTGCGTATGCTATATTGCAAAACACCCGTGGATTTTTTTTTTATTATAGCGTGAATTACGTCTTTCTAAGCAAAGGGCTCATCTAAGAATAAATGCCATTGCCAGCGTAGATCGAGATTCGAAGTCACCATATATCCCCTCACTTTGCAAAAACAAAAATCGATGAGCGGAGATTCGAATCGCACTTCGTTCTTTTTATTTATTATCCTCGAGGAATACACATCAAGTTCCACTCGGAAAATGATGACGCAGAAGAAATGCTGGATTCTCACTACCCTTCTAACCCCGCCAGCGTCTGCAGGGCTCCGCGCCTGCGTACATAGCATGTGCAAAGCATACAGAGATAAGCTGTAATAAGGTGGTGAACTGGGCCAGTTGGTTGACGTTATACATGATGGGGAAAATAGCGCAGAAAACACGGGCTACGAAGAGGAACCAACACGACAGGACAATGCTGTACTCTCAACTGAAAAATTTTAATAAACGAAACAAAGGAAAGAAACATACACAGTATCTTAATATATTGCACAGAAACAAAGGACCACCCTCGCCAGCCATGAAGCGTGTCAATAAACTACCCGTTCACTATGTGACTTACGTTTTTTGCCGCAGGGATGAAATCTCTTTGGCTGGCAGCGCCAATGATGGTTCACTAACACATGAATGACCATGACACAAAACGTGGAAGGCCATAATGATTTGTCTCGTCACCCTATCCTTGTGCACGCCCAGAACGGTTCTTCTGCCAAAGTCAGGCCGACACTTGCACTCTCTGCAATGAAGGGCAAAAGCCACCCAACCGTGACTCCGAGTGAATATGAATGTTCTCGTAAAACGAGGACATTCATATTCGCTCGGAGCTACGGTTGGGAGGCTTTTGCCCATTCCCTAAAAACCACCTTAAAGGGGTAGTGCAACGATTTTAGTGTTGAAAGAATTGTCAGTTTGTATTTTTATACTGTTTTTCCAAGCACAAGTGACCAAAAACGCGACACCTTGCCACGAAACACTGCTGTAACTGTGCGTAATCGCAAAGAAGGAAAGTAAATACTTGCCGATCTGCTGTTCCGTGTAATGGTTAACGGAATTGATCTGTGACAAACTCTGGAGGATATGCGGAAGTGAACAAAACCTGTCCCTTTCCGCTGCTACACTCGCCGTCACCCCAGTGGCAACCAGCCTTTTGTGTCGATTGCTCGCCGCGACCTTCGACGATGCTAATCCTTTAAAAGTCGTTAATCACGGAGGAAGCCTCTAGGTTCTCAAAAGAGAGAACCAAAGAAGAAACCACGTGATCCCCTAGAGTACGTCACTCGAAAGGCGACGTGGAAAGTTGAGAGGCACTCTGACCTTCGATGTGTTTAAATTTTTACATGAAAGCTACCGCTCGCAACAAAATACTGTTTTCTATTTTTCGTTTCATGGGTGACACAGATTAACTTCCACAGTTAATTGGCCAATGTCTGAAAAACGTTGCTCCGCCCTTTTGAAGGGGCGATGCAACAATTTTTGTACTTTGCGCAATTACCGCTTAGAAGGGATCCCTGGCGTTAATGACCTATTCATCATGCGTTCGTTTTTCACCCCACGCAACAGAAGTCCCAGAAAAAAATAATTAAAGAAAAACGAGCAGCGTTCATTCCCTCAACTCGCAGCCAGAACAAGCGGCCACGTGATCTGGAGCCGATTATATGCCGCCAATGTTGATCATAGCCACGCGCTGGGGTTGGCAAAGCACAGGACACGGGCTGATTTCCAGACATTGTTATGGCTCGGCTATTATCGTCGTTGCAGCGATTGGACACGAGCCACTACCCGAATGCTTCTCGAGCTAGTAATTATCACGAGCCCAAATCGAGTGCCCACGCAATGCTCGGGCCCAATTTATGAACCGCATTCAAATATCGTCATTGGGGTGTACTGCGATCCCCACATTACGTCATCAAATTTCGCAAAGGAGAGATTGAATGAAAATGATCGGTCTTGTGCTTAAAATTACACCGCAACAAAGGGGTTTCTTGGCCAGTGGCGTTGCGTGCGAGCATTCTTGAGTCCCACAAGTGCCAGTAAGCTCGTGTAAAGTGGAACACATTCGAAGTGAATATCGTTGCACAGCTCCTTTAAGAAGCTTAATCTCCAGAACGAACTCAGAGCCTTATTTCACTGTTGGACTGAGCGTGTTCACGTGACGCAAAAGTGTTAAAGAAAGGTAAGACGCTAGGTCACGCTGGAGGTGGAACTTCACTGAAACGAAGTAATCTTGGAAGAGACTGTATGTTGTTCCGACATAGAACACCAGTCTAATAGTTTCAATATGAACTTCTGTAATGTGCCGACTGAATAGCATAAAAAGGCTGATTCCGTGTTTGCGGTAACTGTGTCGCCCTGTGTACACTGAACCTTCAAGCCGTTTCAAGGCTCGTGACTTCACGATACGCAGACACGGCGGACGCTACGAGGTAATGGTATCAACCGAGTGGCGTCAAAATCGCATGTGACTAGGCCTGTTCTATTCGTGATTTGTTCAGTGATGATAGAACGCGAGCAGAAACATGACGAACACAATGATGCTCCGCGTTTGACGCTGTCTGATATCTCTCATCAGCTCGTAGCCTCCGCTGCGTCTGAAACAAAGTATTGTTTAACGTTTTTTAGTCCGGCATGTGCGCGTGGCTCGGCTCGGATACTTTTCGCTAACTGAATCGCGTATTGCCTTTTCTTGATTCTAACGAATTTACAATAAAAGTGCGCCATTGCGTTCGTACGTATGCGTGGGGCATAGTGTAACCGTTAATTAATGTTAGTTACAAAACATTTTCATATAATATCAATTCCCAATTTCTGCTGTTTTGTTTAGCAAAACAAACTTAATCCCGCACAAACAAAAACATATGGCCCAAATTTTAAAGAATAAATGGGAGATTTGCTTTTGCGAATCTTTGCTGCAGACTGTGTTGAAATGCGCCCGTTTGTTGACTTTTACAATCGAAGGCTTGCTCTTCTATCGCCACCCAAGAGTCGCTCTCATTTGTTCTGAGTCTTTTAGACCCAACGAGCCCGGTCATATTCATCACGTCGCCGTAATTCTTCAGCCATCTCCTCTCAGTTCGCTTCACACTTTTTTGAGGCATTGAAACGTGCGCGGCACGTCCAGTGTGCGCCTCGTACGATGACCCACGAATGCGCGAGATTAGGAGAGGAGGAAGGCCCGTATGCATCACCTTCTCGCGCCTTCATACGCATATCGATGTGTAGATTAAAATTTCACTGAGGCCGCATGGTAATTGAAGCATCATACTGATTTCCACCCTGACTGGTTAATTGAGTGAAGTGCGAACTGTTTGTTGTTTTTTGCGAGTTCATAGATGTGCTGTATATACCAGTGTCTGCTCCGTTACATGGGCGCCGCCATGTTTGTTTTTAATGCCACCATGTCACTGTAGAAGGGCTGCGCGTTTAGCAAAACCGCACTTGTTTAGAAACCTTTGCACATATCATAGTGCAAAAAAGTCAGAACTTCATATTCACGAAGCTCAAAGAAACAAACCGATGCCAAGAGTGCTGTAAGTAGCACATATCTTGGTTTATACCCAGCCCTTGTCTTCATAAGGGCCTGCATTTCAAATTGTCATTTCGCATCCTTATCGCTGGGGGCTACGATTTCTTACACTGGGCTATATATTGCAGAAATTCTTGGATCGAATCTCGGCCGATACGTGGTGTACAAAAATATGGAGCTTTCCTCATATACATTTTGCTTTACTGCAATTTAACTTTCGGGTGGCCATCAGTCCTCGTAAAAAGTAGATTGATGATCGTCAAAAATTGCAGTTCTCAATGATTTCTTTTTTCAAACAATCATTACAGTGTCTGCCGCTCCAAGAGAAGTGGTACACATTATACAGGAACTACAAGTCAGACCCTGTCTTTGGTGGAACTGATCAATGCATCGAATTCACTTGTCTGGGTCCGGCAGCGGACGATACCTTCGCTTTTACAATTAGATACGGAGACACTACGGCGTAAGTGGACTAAAAATACAGCTAACATAACATATTGTGTGAAACCAGAAAGAAAACTAAAGAAACGCTTTCTTAGTTTAGAATTGTCGTCATATCGGCAAGTCCAAGAGATTGTTATGTGCTTACGGGACTGATTTATGCAAATGACGTGGTTTTATAGGCTAGAATTAGCAAATATTATTAAATATCGGTTGAGCAGAAGCGTATATAATATGTGAAAAAATGCATTAGTGGCAAATTCGGAGGATGTTTTGTAACAACGGCGATGTTCAAGTTCCAGAGGCACAATACGCCACGCTTATGAGATTGTCGAGTTTAAGTACTTCCGTATAAAGCATGAAAAGTGTAAAGCTTGGTAAGGCCGGATGAGAGTAATTGCAATGAAGAAGAAGGCAGTGTAAAACTGCAATAACTCTGGAGTGCTAAGGAAGGTCTAGATAGGGCAATGGTGATTTGTGCAATTGCATTTTTGTATATGAAAACATATACAAGAACGTAAACAAAAAATTAAGCAGCGCGCTATTGAAAGGCAGGGTCAAGAAGGATATTGCAAAACTTCGTGAGACTCTGGGTGTACAAAACAATTTTAAATTTAGATCGTTTTAACGCAGAGAAGCTAGCAGTAAGGTAATATTTAGGAATCGACATTGGAAAATGAAACTGCTGTTGTAACCACGAAGACCTTTCAACTTGCTCCAAAAACCGATGACACAAAGTGAACTATGCAAAACACATAGCCAAACGGTGGGGCAGATTATAGCTACACATTGGATGATGTTAGCCTAGAAGATAGTTAAAGGCAGCAGAGAGAGATATGTGGAATACATGTGATCCTACAAAATCAACCCTGACATGCATTGATCCTTCAAGAAGGGCATTGCTCGAGATAGTGCCTATGCCAATGTGGTTTTTATATATTGCTTTAATATTCCTTAGTAAATCTTCCTTCTGAATATTATTATAAATTCAACATATGATTGTAACACGCTCCTCATAAATGTCGCAATGCTCCGACTATCATACTTTTGGCTAAAGTATGATACAAAAATGTTTATGGAAAAAGGTGTTGCTTCTTGGACACACTTTAAAGTTATGCAATTAGTCTAATTTTTGTAGCTGTCTATTTATGAGACCCTTAAAATGTGACGAGATTACATTAGTTCAAAAGGAAAAATATTTACTCAGGCTTGTGCATTTTCATAGCCAAATTTTGCTACATAAAATCAGGGCGGACAATCAAACTCGGGAAGCTAAAAATTGTTACTTAGATCATCATTTAAATTATGATTTAAATTACGCCGGTTTTAGTATGATCATTTAAGTTAACTCTTTCCCGCAGATATAATTATTAATATGCTTTCTATTTGCCGTTTGTTTATCACTCGATACTTTCTATGTGCAACTGCCTTGTATTTAAATCACACAATGCTCAGGCAAAAAATATTTAAAGCAGGTTGAACATGAACAATTCTTCTGAGCGAATCAGAGTGCTTAGATATTTTTCCATGGTTCACGTGGTTGGTCAGTCACGTAATTAATGTACTGCATGCAAATAAAAACGCTAAAACCAACATCAAAAGTAATATCCCATTGAAAGCAAATCTGGACGCAAAAAAAAAGCTCGGACAGCCTTTACAATCACTGAAAAATTAGCTGCTCTTGTTCTACTTCTTGAACATTACATACACTAAAACGTTGTTGCACTACTTAAAAATATCAAACGTACAATAATTCCTATCCTTCGTAATCTTACGAATCGATCAGTCAATCGGTCACGATTAAAAACACATACAAATCCCTCTTTCCTAGCTATAGTGATTAAAAAAATTAATATTATTGAAAGTGACTCTATATGATTTATTTAATGTTCTAAAAAGAGGTCTTGCTTAGTTTTCACCCTACATAAAATTCAGAGACTTACGGCAATATTGTAGCCAGCATGGTCGAGAAGATACGCTTCCCCGTTTATCTAGAAGATTTAATATACATAGTAAGTTTTGCGTACGCTCTTTCCCCAAGCGTAACGATAAGAAAGTCAGAATGACTTTGTCTAGTCAGTCTGGCCCTAGCTCTTTCCCGAACATTCTAGGTCAAATCGCGAGTCTTGGTATTGCGTATACGAGCGAATGCAAGTCTTCTGTGTTTGAGTTAGTGTTGCGTGTTACACACTGCGCGTGCACGGAGCCCAAACCGCGGCCTTGGACTGGCGCATGGCGACTTCGCGCGTGCGCTGCTTGCAACATGCCACGCTAACGCAAACGCATAGCGCTTGCGTTAGCTTATACGCAATACTAAAACTCACTAATATTCGACATAACGAACATAGCCGGTAAAAAGCCTATCGCCATATTGCCGATTAATTCACTGATTCTTTCTCGCGATGGCAAGCTGTTACGCCGACTGGCCGTCGCTTGCTGCTGCTCTCTCGACGTCTGTTCTTCTCTCTTTCGTTTCTGGCACGAGTTCGCCCCCCTTAAATCGTTAGTTTATTTTGTTTTCTTCTACCTTATTTTATCATCTGTCATTCGTGACAATATGTTTACACCTCGGTGTGAAATTGATTTCAAGTTCTTTGAAAGTGGGAAAATGATATACAAAATAAAATTAGATGCTTTCAGAGACTTATAAACGTGTGCCACTAACGTCACAAAATGTTTCTGGAAAATTACACAGCAAAAAAAAAAAAAACAACAACAACAAGCGAAGGCAGTTCAGGTTGGACTCGGCCGTTGTTCAAAAGTTTGATGTTGACCACATATTTGTTATTACGAATATTTTCATTTTAACATGGAGCCTTTTTGCCTAACATAAACACAAATAGTATACACTTGATATCTGAAAGCGATTAAAAACACACATCTTCACACCTTGTACATAACGTAAGTTGAACAGGTTCAAAGTTGACGTTTTCCGAATATCTTGACTGTAAACAAAAGGAAGAGCAGCTACTTCTGATGGTTACTTCTTTTTTTCTCTTTAGAAACTTCACCCTGACCGCCTCGGCATCTGAAGGATACACGACCAATAATCTTCTGCACTTTAAACAGGATGGACGTAAGTTGTTTTGTTATATCCTATAATCCTCTTCGGGTTTTCGACGGGATATTTCCTTATTCTCCTGACTTCCACAACACCCCACCCCGTTTTTGTACGTCACTCCGGTTTTCCCATGCACAGTGACTACAGCGTACTAAACAATATAGGCCCCAAGTTCGTAATCCTTCTAGGCTGGATAAATTTCCCGTCTCAAGTGAAGTGCCCAGAGGTAATTTTAAGAAAATGTAACTTGCTCCTCCCTGAGCCATAGTGCAAAATATAAATTCATTGCTGGTCGCTAGACAAAACACATTATATAACGGACACCCGTGCATAATATTAACAACAACAGTAAGCCTGCCTTTTCTTAATATCTACGACGCGGTAATTTTTATTATTTTTCAATATGTGACATAGCCAAGAAGTGGGCCCTAATGATTAGTTATTTTCCCAGTTTGATACGGAACGTCCTTAAGAACTGTCGTGTGCATCAAGAAAGCATGGCGGGCTGTGCAGGTTTATATTGTCTAAGAGAGTGCAAATGTGTTTATTACCACCTTGTAAAAATACAGATAGAGGGGCTGTGGAAAAAAGCTGAGCTTAGCAGCTTAACGAGCTACAGTCCCTGTATTAGTTGCAACTAAGCACCACTACGGTAGGAATAATGAACATGCATAAAAAGTATAATGACAACGAAAACGCCACGGTATACAGGCATACAAAACAGAAATTATACTCCTAAGGTTACAGACATTGCACGGAGTTCACTGTACTTACAGGCGAGCAAATCAAACTGCATAAGCTGATAAGCGTTTAATAATGAAGGAAGTGTATACCACAGGCATTTGTTTTCTGTAAATTAAACAAGGTGTAGGTACCACCCAATTTTCTCCATGTCTTGTAGTATAATTTAATTCTCTTTTTTGAAGTTGTACCAGATTACGTGTATTATTTATATTCCTCTGTGTTTCCAACTTATAACGTACACTCAATCGATATTTATATAGGTTGTATGCTGGGATCACGTCGGAACGACAAAAAAGTTTGCACATGACGCTCTCTAGGGCGCGTTGTAAATATGTCGAAGACATTTTTTTTGTACCGAATAAACACGTTGTAAGTTTGAAAATGTGGATGTCCCCCCACACTAGTTGACAGTAATTCAAATGGGAATAAAAGCGTGAATTAAACAGAAGTAACTTGATTCTTGTGTGAAGAAGGTATCTAACACGACCTATTATTCCAGTTATCTGAGATATTTTTTGCGTACTAAATAGTACTTATGACTATACCACGACATAATTTCGGAAAACACGACACCGAGACATTTGAAGTGCTCGACAATTTTGATTGGACGGGAATTAAGGAATATATCTCTATGCACTGGAATTGGCTTTTTATGGTCTAAATGTCACTGCTTTTGTTTTAATTGATTTATTTGCATGGAACTAGATTTGGACAAGCTCTCCAGTGCTTTCATTGTGTGATTGCATGTATCTACCAATTCATGGATATCAGTGCCGGCAACGAAAATACTAGTGCCATCAGCGTAAATAATGAATTTCGCACTAGGGTTAATTTTTGCAATATCATTAAGATAAATATTAAATAGCAATGGCCCTAATATACTACCTTGTGGTACACCACAAGTCACAGATAGCGCCTTAGAACAGATGTTGTTTATGTGAAAAACCTGTTTTCGGTTTGATAAATAGGATTTCAAAAGTAATAAAACCTGTCCACAAATACCATAGTAACTAAGTTTCCCCAACAGAATACCATGACTCACTGAATCGAAGGCCTTAGAGAAATCCACAAATACACCAGCTACAATGGCTTTATTTTCAAATTGTGTAATCAAATATTCTTTTTGCTCGAGTAACGCCAATTCCATTGATTTTTTGTACAAAAACCATATTCTTGATGGGTTAACAAGTTACATTTATCTATAAAGTTTGGGAGCCTTGAAGGCAAGATTTTTTTCAAATTTCTTTGAGAAAACAGGTAGAATAGAAACTGGCCTATAAGTTTCTAAATTGTTTCGATCACCTTTTTTATAAAGAACCGGAACTCTCGCAACTTGCATATTCACTGGAAAAACTGCATCAGCAAAACAAAGATTACAAAATATGAGTATGAATAAGCGCAATAATATCAGTTACGTGCTTCACCCGTCGTATCTGCAATCCATCAATATCACAACTACTGCTGTTATTTATTTTACTATATTTATCCGCATGTTTCGCCCCCATATAATACACGGATTTCACAATGCTAACAAAGCGACTGACCTCACAGAAGACGAGTCAAATTTGGTGACTGCCTCATACTCGGACTGCATGACCTGCGTTGTATTCAGAAGCACATACTTAGACGGTAAGTCCCATGTCCCTTCATCTACTGAGTGCAGTCTTCGTTGAGAACGAATGCGATAAAAGCGTGTTCCACAAGCTGCTATTCCGCGAATAAAATCGGTGCCGCTAGCAATGCGGTGGCACGGTCTCCAAGGTTTCATTTCACATGAGCGTTTTGTGCAGCTGAATGCCCAATGTTCCTGCAGCTAACGAACGCGCCCAATGGGTTTTTGTTACTTGCAGTGACAACTTTTCTGCTTTATTTGTCGTTTTTACTTTTATTGTTATTTTTTAGGGCTAGAAAGAAAAAAGCAATATTGACGTGCCTTTGCAGGGCGTTTTTGAAAGCTTGTTGAATCAAAAGTATTTGAGTTATTAAAATGGAATGTAAATACTTATGTTGTTAAACAAACAGAAAGATGGAAGAGAAAATCGACCTGACAAAATCTCTTCACGGAATTTAGACACACAAGCTGAACTCCTTTATGGCTAGACATACCGCAGGAAATAGGCCCATGACAAAGGACCCAGAACGAGAAACCATATCGGCTGCGTATTTTCTCTGCATGTCGTCTGTCCGAAATCTGGAAACGCCATCCTAAGCGCATGCTTACCATTTGTGTTTCCTCTCCTGTCACGTTACCACCTGCAGCTCTGTGAATGACCAGCGAGGGGGGGTACAGTTGTTATGGAGAAAACCGCTGATGGTGCATGAAACGTGTCTTTAGAGAAATTCGCCAAGGTGTTTAAACATCACTTTCCATATAAACGCATAAAAATGCTTGAACAAAATTGTAAGCCATGGGTATCTTTACAATAGTCAAACATATTCGTAGCAAAGCTCTGATATATAACTGTTTCGTCTAGAAACGCGACCAGGTTTCTTTAACTGAATTTTATTCGTAACGCAATATAGTTTAACTGAGGAGGGGAGAAATTCTCAAAAGAGTTACTACACTTCTTTTTTTTTTTCGTTGGCAACTGGTCGCACTTACGTGATGTGAAATCATCTAGGTTCACTGCTCAAACCTGCTTATATGCCAAATCGCATTAAACGTTGAATCATCAATGTATTTATACTGCCGGTAGAGATCGGGCCGATATGTTCAATTACTATTTCGTAAACCTAGCAGATGAAGCCAAAAAATCCGATTCCTGAAGCTATATTTATCATACAGACTGAGGTTCTCTTTCTTAAACCCAGTCGCTAATTCGTAAGTCATTATTGGGATCATACACCTGAAAAATAGCACTAAATATGATGTCGGAGGAATGCAAATTCTCCCAAGTCTTCGACTTAAATGCTCACGTGTTACTTATATTTTCTAAACTTTCTCTTAAAACTTCTGTACTCCCCAGAAACTTTGAAGTGAACTAAAAAAATCGCCTTATATACACGTCTATACCTTCTTCACTTTTTGGGCGATGATATGTTTTGTATCTTTGAAGGAGTTATACTCTTGAATATAGGGCGTTTTTTGTTGAATAAACTTCTAACTGTATTTAAGACTTCGTTGTTCAGTTCGTTTTATTCTTATTAATTTCTGTTGGGTTTACTATGCATATCAAAGCTCTTGGTGTGTTTTAGTGAGAACAGGACATGGGATAGCCATGTGCACTATCTTATGACAAAACTCGCTTGGGTGGTGGGAATCACAGATCGCAACAGGTTTATTTTATCAATAAATGTTGATTCGTTGGTTTACACAACATTGTTTTCTTTCTATTTAAATTATTCCCATCTCATTTTGTGTACTTCAACAATTTCTAACATTCGCAAACTTTTTTTTGCAACAAAAATATTTTGAGAGGCAGATGCAACGTATGACATCACCTTCATAACGCTGATTTATCTATGAACTATCATAATTGATGCGTATAAAGTATGTCAATGCAAACTCTATCTAATCTAGAATTGAAAAAAGAAGAAACAGCGAGGTATTCATTTTTATGGAAAACTTCTCGTCGCTGAGAGTAACCTTACCACCCTACCCTTCGTGTAAAACAAAATACTGAAGAATGGTCACTCCGAGAACAAATACGGTTTTAAATTGATAAATTTCGCACAACCTTATTCTCTATTTTTTTTTTTATAAGCAGTTTGGAGTTATATGGCGTAACTTTTAAAAGGTTTTGTATTTTTGTACATGCTGTCTACAAATTGTGCTATTTTGTTTAGTGTTTCCGAGTTTCTCTCGGCGTATCATTCTTTTTTTTCTATTTTTACCTTAGGTAGTGGGCATGTTGTTTCCCATGTGAGTTATTCCTCTACTTGCTGTTAACAATTGAGGGGCACAAGGACCTCTCATACCCGATGGGATAAAGTTTTTATTATTATTTTCAGCAGATAGAAAATTATTGAAATTTCATAAGGGTTGCTACATTTTCGTGTTTTTTCGTTTTTTTTTTTTTTTTTTTGTACTGTGAATGTTTGTGATATAATGACGTTTAATCTATGAACCACGGGGGTCGGTGGTATTCTCATCAAAAATTGCTCTTGTTTGACCTGCATTCAATAATTTAATGACACTAAAAAAGCATCGGCATTTCGTTGAGAAAAGTTAATAAATTATATCCACCGAACTGAATATTAAACAATCACGGTTTCGCGATCTCTCAAAAGGCGTTAGTCTTATACACATAAAAGAGCATAACGTACGTTAACTTGATCCTCGTGAATATTGCATGCGCAGATGGGGCCTGTTCCCTTATTGTTCCTGAAAGCGCGCTGGGAAGTGACCTCCAGTGTTGCGACTACCTCTTTGACCTACTCTGCGACGCAACCCCGAAGTTCACCATCTACGATGAAAGCTGCTTCAAGTGAATAATCGTCGAGCAGCAGGTACCTCAAGTGAAACGTTGCCTACACCAGAAGCAAAGAGCGAGGTACTGAATGTTATTACGGCTAAATGCTACATTTTATGTAATCGTTGACTAATAAAAGTGTATATTAAACTGCAAATTATACTTGAAATAAATCATGCGAAATTTCTTGTTAATTAATTAGTAAAATTTCGACGCAGAGTAAACTAAACAAATGCAGTTTGCCGCCTAAAAAGCACAATATGGTCAATTTAAATACGACCAGCTGTTTTACCTCACGGTTGGGTACAATTTAATGTGTCTTAATCCTATCCGAAACGTATTACCTGGAATGCAAAAATAATAACTATGGGTTATGAATTGAAGCCTTGCTCCTCTTCCATGGGTTTCACAGAGCATGGAAAAGGCCAAGACAACCGGTCCTGTCACCAATATTGGAACAATGAATTACACCACGCTATTCGATTTCAACCGATATTCGCACACCCAATATGCCTGCTGAGAAAATCCGCAGACTCGTAAGATTGTGAAACTTCGTAGGTCCCACAGACGTTATGTGAATCGATGAGTCGCTATAGTTCTACGGATCCCTGTAGATGTCCAGAGGATGTGCGGGTCTGTGGATCCTCACACACTCTGTGTGGGTCTGTGGGAGTCCTGCGGGCCCCACGGAGATCGTATAGAAGCTGTGTGGGATTCTTATGAAATCCGCAGATTCACTGTTTTGTGTTAGAATCACTACCGCTGAATTTCCACTCCGAAGTTTGAATGATTCCGGAATCATTCGCACTTTTCGCGGCCCTGGAATGGAATGGGGATCGGATGGTGGCAACGCTAAAGGGAGAGTGCAATGGGAATGGAATTGGATGCCCTTTTCCCGGAATAGAGTGGAAATAGAATGGACACTGTTGTTATGCAACATATGTAACTTTTCATATAGTGCCTGCGGGCTGATGGCGCAATGTGATAGCGCATGGCACTCTTGATACAATAGCATTGCACAGAACGTCACAGACGGCTTGATTGTCTCACTAGCTTATGCTCCTTTGATGATAAAAATGGTGCGCCATCGGAGAAACGACCAAACATACTTGTTGTAGACGGACGAGGTGTCGTTACTGGCGCCGCGAGACGCGACAAACCACCGGTTGCAATCATGCGCGATTAGCATGTAGCTTTTAACCGGGATGTTGAACCGAACTCGAACAAAAGACCAGAGCAAAACCGATATTTTAATTGAACCGGAACATAACTGAAGTATAAATCAAACATTTGATATGGGAATGGAACCGTAATTTTATGTGACGGTCACCGGTTCAATGGAAACGGTTCGGCGTAATAAAACAAAAGCCGCGCCTATTGTGGGTGGTGTCGCGAAGTCAATAAAATATCTAGCAACGGTGGCGTGAGCGGCTCAGTTTTGATTAAACGAACTGCAGCGAGGACATGAAACAGATCAATAATAATTAAATAGATAAGTATATTTACGTTTGCGTACAGCACAAATTTGGGTCGGCGAGTCGGCATGAAGGCGTACACTTCCATATTTTGTTTCATCTTACGATGGACTGCAAAAAACACCACGAGCCACCCGCGTGGGCTTCTGGAACAATCGGTGTAGAAGGTTCGGCGCGAACAACATTTGGAGCTAGAACAAACAACCGGGTTTTCGAGTTCATGAGAACTGGACATTTACAGCAATTACAAAATGTGTGTACATTCCCAGGCATCGAACATCGGCCCTTTGCGTGGTAGCCAAGCACGAAAACCATTGGGCCACGGGTGCGCTTGGTCGGCCGACGCACGTGGCAATATTCCCCCCTTTTAAAAAAGCAACGTCCCGAGGCAACGTGCTAAAAAACAAAACGGAGCAAAAAAAAAATACAGTTCTGTTAAGCATAGCTCGGGATCAATGTCCACTATCTTGTCGTGCGTAGCACGGCCTGAGGCGCACGGCGTGGACGAGTTCAGGTCGTGGTGGGCGGCGTGATGAAGCTCTTGTCCCGACGGCCATCACCTAGTAGTTCAGATCTCCGAGTTGACAAAGTACCTTGTACGGTCTGAAATAGCGCTTTAGGAGTTCCTCACTTACATCGCGTCGTTGAATTGTGGTCTAGACCTACACACGGTCTCCAGGCTTGAAGCGAACGTCGATCCCTTGAAGGTCGTACCGGATAACGTCGGCAGGTTGTTGTTTTTGAATCGGGAGTCGAGCGACCTGGCGAACGTCTTCAGATCGTCGAGCAACCGCCTGGTCGTCGTGGCTCCCATGGTCAGTTGGTTTATGGGACCGCATCACGTCGAGCATGTTCGTTGCGTTTCGGCCATGCACCAGCTAAACCGGTAATACTCCTGGGGACACAGCCGTGTTTTAAGCAAACGTGATGTAGAGTAACACCTCGTCCCATGCCTTGTACTCTACGTCGACATACATGACGATCATGACGGCGATAATTTTGTTAAGCCATTCTGTATTTCATTTGTTGCGGATGGTACGCAGTGGTTCGTCGGTGGTTGGTGCTACTGACGCGGAGGATGTCTTGCGTCAGCTGGACCATGAACAATTATCCATATTCTGTAATAGAGACTTTAGAGGCGCCATGCCAAGAGACGATGGGCTTGATAATAAACCTGACGAATTCAACAGCCGTACCCGATGAAAGGGCCTTCGTCTCGGCGTACCGTGTCAGATAATCGGTCGCGACGATTATACATCCGTTTCCTTGCGGCGATGGTGGGAAGCGTTGAGGTAAATCCATTCAGATTTGCTGGAATGGGAAAGATTACGGCGCAATAGACTGAAAAGTCGAGCCGCTCTCGTCGCTGACTTCTTCCGCCGTTGACACTCGTGGCAAGAACGGGTGTAGTGATGGACTGTATAGACAAGCTTGGGCCAGTATTACTTCTCACGTATCCTGGCAAGAGTCCTGCTGTAGCCAATGTGCCCCGCCGTCGGTTCCTCGTGGTAGGTTTGAAGTAACTCTTCTCGGAGGCTGGAAGGAATCACGAAGAGCCACGCCGTGTAGTTGTCCCTGAAGTTCTCCTTGTAGAGCACAATTTGTCGGATGGAGAAGGATGGCAGTCTTCTTTTGAAAACGCGAGGAACCACACTTCCCTGTCTCTCCAAGTGATTGATGAGTCTTCGCAGATCATCATCGTCTCTTTGGAGTGTTGCCGTGTCACTCGCATCCAGAGCGCCGAGGAAGCACTGGTCGTGATCGTCTTTGGTGCAGGCAGAATCGGCCTCGACGGGGGCCCTTCACAGACAATCGGCGTCACTGTGTTTTCGGCATCAATTGTACACCACGGTCATGTCACGAGGTAGGTGGAATCTAAACTCCACCGAGGTAGGCACCCTGAGGAGTCCATCAGATTTGCGAGCCAGCAGAGCGAGGGGGGGGGGGGGGGGGTCTGTAACCACTCGGAACGAACTTCCGTACAAGTAGGGGTGAGACCTGGTGATGACGCAGACGGCAGCCAGGCACACTTTCTCTGTCGTAGAGTAATTCCCCTCCGCCTAGGACAGTGTCCGGCTTGAAGAGGCGATTACTCTCATTGTTCCTTTCTGTAAATGAACCAGCATGGCACCTAGCCCTGTCTTACTTCCACCCGTGTGAGTTATTTTTGTGCATGCTGGTCAAAATGGCCACGGACGGGAAGTGCTTGAGGTCTTCGCTTAAGCTCATCAAACGCGCTCTGGTGCTCTTATGTCCATAGAAACTTTGCGGCGTCTTTTGTAAGCTATGTCAGTGCCACAAAAACTTCCAAGAGTCTCTAACGAAGCGCTTGTAGTAGGCGCAGAGGCATAGGAATCTCCTTGTGGGCATTTTGTTCGACGTCATAGAAAATGCGGTTGCGGCGCGCATCTTCTCAAGCTTAGGACGAATACCCTCTCTGCTCATGACGTGGCCTAGGAATGTGAGCTCACCATAAGCGAACCGACATTTAGTTGGCTTGAGATTTATTCCAACGGCCTTGATGGCTTGAAGCACGGAACGGGGTTGTCGTATGCGCTAGTCGAAGTTGCTGTCGAAACCTACAACGTCGTCGAGATGGACGACACATATCTGGCATGTAAATGCGATATGTTAACCTTTATGTTACCGCTTCCAGGCAGGTTGAACTCATGCTTATTATGTTACATACGGGTGCGAAAACACTAAAGATTCCTACCTGCACTCCGACAGTTTGCCTACCGAACATGCAGAAACCGACCGCCCGCCAACCATCCACCTTCCGCCCCAGCCAGGACCGTTATACTGAACCAACCTACCGACCGTCAGTACCTTTAACTTAATGGCGGTTCACACACTTGCGTCGGGTGCGACCGAGCGCAACTGCAACGGCTTGCGGCCTACGAGTTGCTATGGCAACGGTCCGAACAGATCCGGTTTTTATCCTGCTTTTTTTGGAGCCGACGCATCGGTTGTCATAAGAACCCGTACGTCACAGGCCTTTGCAATCACAGTTGGTCGGACTCACGCAAGTGTGTAAACCAACTTTTAAAGAGACCGGGCCGCTGCATAGCGCCCAGAACGCCTGTATCGTCACCTGAACTAACCGAACGCTCGATCGACCACCGACCCACCGACAGACCATAAAAGGGGTATGGAAATAAAAATTGAAATATGCAAATTTCGTTCGGAAATGACACAAGCATGACGAATAATAACCGTAAATGATAATCGCACATTTGTATTTTGAACGTCTGGCCATAATTTTTGTTCCAAACGGTGCGGAGAAGCGAACGGAAAGCGCGATGTGTCGTGAGATATCCGTCGCAAACAAGAAACAAAAATATTCCCCGCATTCGCGACGTCAGAAGGCTGGCTTGGTGGCGTTGTGGTGGCGTCAACGCGTTACAACCGAGTGGTTTCAAACACCCGTGGGGTGACGAGCGTTTCACGTGTGAGATCAGTCGTGCGCGTCGTGTTCGTTTGGCCCACTCCAATGATGCTTCAGGACGATTTCCTTGGAAACATAAACTTGAACGACACAAGTGAGGGTGATGACACCGATATCGCCCTCTCTGTATAGATT